CGGCATATCAACCTCAATGGGTCATTTAATGCCGACAACTTTTTTTTCCTGTTAATATTTTTGTTTTATCAAAAATCTATTTCTGGAAATATTCTTTCCTCAAAATTATATAGCTGGTAATATTATTTTCAAAAACGTATTGCTGGCAATAGTGCTCTTCAAAAATGTACTGCTGGTAACAGTTTTTTTTTTCAAAAACGTATTGCTGGCAACAGTTTTTTTTCTTCAAAAATTTATTTCTGGTAATAATTTTTTACAAAGTATTTCTGGTATTAAAACGTATTTGTACACTTTCAAAATGCTTTTTACCTCAGTTTCGGAGTTAACTATTTTCCCATAGCTGGGACCCTAACAGGTGCTACCACTCCAGGTCAGGGCGGACCTGGGAGCACCAGCAATTAAGAGGTGGTTTCACGCTCCTCAAAGCCTCCTGATCAGAGGCCTTGCTATTGGATGTAGTTTATCGTCTTACCCTGGACGCGGATGTAGTTTATCGTCATACCCAGGACGTATTTTTATAGTATGGTGTCGTTTATTTTTTTCTTTTCTGTATAAAAGGAGTAAATCTTCAAATATTCTTAAAAAATTCGAAATTTAATTTCGTTTTGTTTTGCTCATCTAGAAGATAATAGAACACAAAAATTGTTCATTTCAATTATATCAAAAAGAGCGAATTGTCACAATAAATCGAACGAAATATTTATTTTATATTAAACAAAAAACTATTATTAATAGAAATTATGATATCAGTGGCCGCTGAATACTCGTTAATGGGAGAAGAGTTTCTTGGTTGGTAAGTTGAACTGGTTGCATACTGACATCAGAATTCAATACTTTTAAAAACCTAACCAAGGTATGTCCAAAAGTTCGCTAAAAAAAGAGCATACCTTGATGAAAAAAGGCCCCAAACTTGATTAAACATTTTTTTTATTGTCTAAATGTTTATATCATTATTAAGAGGAAAGACCAAAGTATTTTTTGAGTATTTTTAAAATTTTTTAATCCTTTCTAGCACCTCCGAAATTTTAGCTAAATATCTCGTTATTTTTTGAGTCATCAAAATTCATGTAAAATCAATCATGTCAGCCACTATTGACAGTTTTGTAAACAAAAGTGAAATTATCCGTTATAAAATCTTGTAAAATTCAATTATACTTTTATTCAAAAGTTATTTTAGGAAAATTAGAAAATTTAAAGTATACTTAATGTAATTTGAAAGAAACATTTTTAGTAACCCTTATTTCAATTTCAAACATTTTCTTGAATTTCATTTTGTGCAAAAGTAGGCTCAACTGACTTTAAAAAAATCTTTCTCGAATTCACCCCTAATTTAAATGTTTCAAGAAATCCCATTGGATAAAAAATAGAAAAATATAATAATCTCATCCACGCATTTCTTGGAATTATTGGTAACGTCTGCCAAGCTTCCGTTGAGCCGATTTAGTCGTTAAAAAAAACTATAAATACAAACGACGAACAAGTTTTCCAAACCTCCCCAGTTTGTTTTGCCCCCCACCCCTGATTTCATCTCGACTGGGTCAGTTTTATATATTTCCCATGTCCGTCTATATTTTTTCCTTTCCCATTCCCTTAGCGAGAGAGCCTCTTGGTTTTGACCAATGGGCAGAATACAGTGGCCTCTCTTCTTTTTTGAGCGTTGGACGGGTCCTACTAACATCAGTTATGTTTTTGTTTGCTTTGTGTTGATGTTTAGTTTGTTTTGGGGTTCATTCCCTCCCTTCTCATTGTCATATATTAAATTTTTATCTATATTTATTATCATCAAATTATTAAATCTCGGGGTGAGTTTTGTAGGTCCCCCTGGTATTATGGTGGATGGAGGATTGATTGGTGAAGGACGAGTTCTTGTGGTGAATGCGCAATTTGTAACGAGTGAATGGGTCGTGAATCAGATTAGCTAGGTATAGGATAGTCAGTGTATACCAGCCTCAATCCCTTTCCCCTTTTCGGCCTTGTGCTATAATTGTATTTTATATACAATAAATAAATAGAGATTCTTACACGCAAGGGATACGCACAGAGATCTAGTCGCATGCAAAGAGATCTTTACACACGCAAAGGAGATACAAACTCAGCGAGACACCAAGAAAAAAACTTAATTTTTATACTGCATTTTGGAACAAACTTCCTTTATTAGGAAAATTTCAACGACAAACCTTTTCTATTCAATATCTTTTTTAGAAAAACTTTTGTCTAATTTAAATTTAACCATTATAGTAAAAGGCAGACAACTTTTTTACTTACTTTCGGCATTGAAAATTTTCGAAACAGTAAAGAACTTTTTCTCTTAAATATACTCTCGCACACATCATTACAAAACAAAAATTTGTAAAATTGTGTATATAAAAATTAATTGGATAATTGTGTATATAAAAATTAATTTGTTGTTCCAAACCTGTCCTTTTTGTCGTAATTGAATATCGTTACCATTTGACCCTTTTTTTTAATAATTTATGTTTGTGGATTTTGCATGTTTTATTTGCAGCGCAACTTTTAATATTCACGCAGCCTTCCTAGATCCACAACACATTACTTACTTTTTTAGCAGAAAATTTTTAAGAGAGACATGTCCAACCGCGGTGATTGGTTTTGGGAGATGTGAATTGACGTACGTTATAGTGGGTTATCAGTTATACTGAAGTGTATGAGTGTTGAAACAGATTAGTTTGATTTGGCCTTGTTAGATAGCCTACCATAAGAGGGGTATAAAACAAGAAAATCAAATTGTAAAGTGAAACAACAAATTTATATACATATAAATCAATTAAAGTCTCTACAAATTAAATTAATGTATTTTGGTTAATACAAGGTTGTCAGAATGTTCGTAGTAATCCTTGCAAGAATGAGTTTATGTGTACGTAGGCAGGAATGCATGCATGTATGTATGTATGTATGTATGAGCGTTATCGTAGGGTAGGAATGTCTTTGAAGTAATCGTTCAGTCTTAAAATGTTCCGTTCGTTTATCAAGTATAAAAGAGGTGAAGGAGAAAGGTAGAGATAATAATAACGATAGCTTGACGTTTGTCAATGGATGTGTTAATACGCTCGTCTCTTTCTCTGGTGACAGGCGAACATGCCCGTCTTTTATTTTGTTTGTGGGGCTTGAAAAGGTCATTTGGGAATTCACTCCCGGATATGATTCGGGCCTTTCCATTGGACGACGAACAAACTTCGCTTCGGCTCGCGAAAAGGTCCGTAAAATAATTTGTTTCTGAGAATTGAAGATTATTTAAATTTTGTTTTTAAATGTTTCCTATTGGCCGAAAAACATTTCGCAACAAGGTGTGAAATTTCACGAGTTTTGTTTTGGATTTGCGTTTGCGTGTATGTTAAGCAAAGTTTGTAAATTCGAGTCTTTTTAATTTCTAACAAAATCAATGAGTCAGTGCTTAGCATTTGAATTTTAAATCTAGGTCCTGTTTTGTTCACTACAACGTCAATGTATCGACAACTTACGTCAAGGGAATTTATCGTATGGTAGGATAGAAGTGACAAAATTTGTGTTAATTTTAAGGGACTCTGGTTAGTAGAGTTAAATAAAAAAATACACTTTCAAAAATTTATTTTTTTTTACCTTACATTTGAAGAAGAATTCTGGAATAAAAATAACATTTAAAATACGAAAAAAATACATTTTCACGTGACACTTTTTTCAGAATTGTTTTTCCGTAGTTTTGTCGGAAACAATTTTAATATATTTTTTTGGCGTGTTAAGAAATTATTTTAAAAATAGATGTATGTAACAGATTGTAATAAGCTTCCTAATTTATGATCTGTAAAAATAGATCTTTTAATAAGAGCATTTCCTGAGGTGTACATATTCAAACTTAATTTTAAAACATTTATTTATCAATTTTTTTCCACATTTTTTTATTTATTGAAAAAAAAAAACAATTCTTGTAAAAATTCCTTTTTCAATCATCGAAAAAATATTTTGGCTTCAGGCAAAAATGTCCTTAATATTCATAAAAGCCATTATTAAAAGCTTTTTTAATTAAATAATGTCTGAGTTTTATTGAGTTTTTTTTTTTTTTTGTATTTTACAATTTGGAGCTAAAGTTTTGGTAGATGCATGTGACGAAGTACAAAAAATAAAATAAAATAAAATAAAAATAAAAAATCGATGATTTATAATACTTTTCAAAGTCTTCTGCATTTAATTTAAAAAGTTAGAGCTGTACATATTCGAGTTTTCAAGTTTTCATAAAAATAAAATTAAGTAAAAAGGGGAAACAGATGTAAAATAAAAATATTTTTACTATAACTTTTTAAAAAACAAACATTTCTAAAATAAATTCATTCATTTTTTAAGTTCTGAAAATTTCATTAAACTCCGACAATTATTTGATTTTTGCAAGAATTTCCAAATTAATGTTTTTCAACTGAAAAATGCGCTAAAAAAACTAATGCTAAAAAAAATATTAGGCGGCCGCTGACGTAAAAAAAAACAAGATTTTCAACCAAAATTTCAAACGCGCTAGAAAGGAATAAAAAATTTTAAAAAATACTTTCGTCTTTCCTCTTATTAATAACATAGACTTTTTCACAAAAAAACTTTGTTTTTATTAAGTTTGGGCCTTTTTTCATTATGCTGTTAGTGTTTTGGGTTGAATTATTGAATGCTAAAATTTTAAAATTTAATTTTCAAGAAAGACATGCTAATTTTCTCTTCTCATCCCCTGCTATTATTTGGCCTTGTGCTGTACTCAGTTGAGCTTAGGAAACATTATTAAAATTGGGGATGAGGGGGTGGAGAGAGAAAATTCTGATTTAAAACCAATAAAGTTTGTTTTTGAAGGATTTAAATTTCTAATACCCGGTCAATATTTTACCGGGTGATTTTTCACCGGTTATGACTTTTAACGTCTTCAAAATTGAAAAGTTACCGTGAAGCTACATGAGAGAATTGGTTAAAAGAAAACAATGAATTATTCCAGCAAACTGAGCGATAATTTTGAACCTTTAAAAACTTAAATAATGAGCGAGAATATCCTTGATAAATTAATTGCTACTATCGATTGTAAACAAGGTGCTGTACGCAATGTTAGGTTCAACAGTGAGTTTTTTTTTTTTTAATTCCGATTTCTATTTTACTGCATTTTGGTTTTTAACTCTTAAAAAAAAAAAAATTAAAAAAGAACATTTGTTTGAAATATGTTTTTACTTTTTCTTTTAAATGAATGTATGTTTACTGACGAGTTTCGCCAATCCGCAAGTAATGGTGTTTTGACTTTTGCACATTACTGGGATTTTTAAAAAAATTAATTATTTGCTCGCTTAATTATCAGTACTTTTCGTGTGTTTATCAATTTTATTTTTTTTTTTTTTTTTTTATTCAACTGTTTTTTATTTCACTCGTCCAGGATCTTGCGGCAGGTAAACCTTTAGTCAAGCCCCAAAATGACCGAAACTGAAATATATCTATCCTTTACTGAAAAGATTAAACTAAAAACACAACCAAGCAATTTGAAAACTTTTCTTTTTTTGTTTACTGTAAAAAGGCTGTTAACATTTTAAATTGTATCAAGGCAAAATTATTTTAACGGAACCTGTCTCTAAGTATTTTTTATTAGATGAAAAAAGTTTAACGTCACCGTTAATAAAAATGTGTGTCTTAGAAATATAATTTCTAAGGCTGAGGATTTGTTTGGTGTACTGTAGTGATAAAAAAACCCTCAAAAGCTGAAAGTTTGCAAACTTTTTTGGTTTGCCATAAAGAAATAAAAATAAAAAGATTAAAAAAAAATAAGAGACCCCAAAAGTTTCATTACAAAATATAGGTGAAGAAAAAAAAAAAAAGTGTTAAAAGACAGTGATGGGCAGGCAAATGGATTGGACCAGCTTTTCAGAATTTCATCTGCAGTGCCTTACCATAAAGCTTTGGACACCTAAAATTCCCACACAGAGAGTTGAAGGTATTACTACTGTCAAGAAATACTTATATACATGTTAACAAACTCTCTCCCTCTCTCTCTCTCTCTCTCTCTCTATATATATATATATATATATATATATATATATATATATATATATATATACACACACACACACACACACACACACTAAGGTCTTAAAGACTTTCAACACAAGAACTTTCTGATAGGAATTTATGAACTCTTTGAATATTATCGTATATTTTATTTTAAATGATATAAATTTTTATCAGTACATGCAATATATATCCTTATATTAATTATCTTTGCATGCATTTTTAAAAGGTCATAAATTGGCACATATTTTGATTAAGGACGTTATCTGAAGATAAACATCTGTAGATTGTTCTAATTCTACATGCCATACCTCTTCCGGATGTCTCAGTTATTTCCCCTTAACTCAACTCTCCAAGATTTTTTGGTTCGCCACTGCTATTGCCTGGTATTGAACTCCTGACTCTTTGGGTATAATCATTGGATCTAACCAACGCCTTTATCCTCAAGGGCACATGGCCCAGTGGAGAAAGGCATTGGTTAGAAACATTGTGAATATGGCAATAAAGATGAGGATAAGTCTTGTGTAAAATACAATTTAATAGTAATATTAGCCATTTCTTTATTAATTCAGCATTCACTGACAATTTGGAAATTCTTCAACATATTTTAGTTAAATTTTCACTTTCCCGAAATTACAATTTTCATTTAGATATATGGAAAAAAGGTTTCGGTTTAAACTGACGCCTTCTTCCCTCTCCACTTTGTATATCTAAACTTTAATTTTGGAAAGGGAAATGTTGGAAATTTTCCAAGTTTTCATCTGAAATTAAAAAATACAAACTTGTCAAAATATATGAAAAAAAGGTGTCTGTTTAAATTGAAGTGAGGATGATATGGATTAATATAATTTCCATTTGAATTTCTGGGATGAGTTTTTATTTACATTATTTATATTCAGACTATTCAGTTCAAAATTCTCTGTAGGTTACCCAGAATGATATACATCTGAGGAAAGACAGAAGGCACAATGGCCGAAATGTTGTGATAACAACAACAACAACGAAGATGCAGACAAGAGTCTGAATATAAATAGTGTAAATAATTTGTTCAAGTGCCTTTTTGTACTAAACTGTTTTTCTTCTTTGTACTATGTGTTTGGTATACAAATTTTAAATGACTTTATATCTGCAAATTCATTAAAAATTTTACAGTCACACCAAGTAAGCAATATTTTCTTTCTCAGATGATGGTCAATATTGTTTAAGTTGTGGCAGTGACAAATCCATTAAATTATGGAATCCTCATCGTCAGTTGATGCTTAAAACCTACTCTGGACATGGCTATGAGGTTCTTGATGCTCATTCTTCTGGAGACAATAGTCAGATTTGTTCTGGTGGCATGGATAAGTCTGTTATCCTTTGGGATGTTGCTTCTGGTAAAGTCTTGAGAAAATATCGAGGACATGTAGGTGAGTTACATTTCATGTTTTCACTTTACACACAAAAACCATTGCAAACAACAAGTATCAGGATGTGAACTGTGACCCTTAATTTTTTTTAAATTTGAATTCATTCAATATTTATACACACAAGCATGATATTGGACCATGGCAGCTAAATCTGGCATTGTATCCCAAAAGAGCTTCTTCCAATGAAGCTATTTACCCTATATCCTGTTGGTAAGCCTGATACAAGATTAAAACATTGAGCTCTGCACATATACACTTGGCTGATCCCAAAGTATTAACTACTTCCCTTGGCACTTACTTATTGGGACATATCGGATATAAGGGATTGATCTTCTCTTTTAAGTGCAATAGAGGTGAAACGGCCTGGTCGAGTATAACTTCCTGGAATTTGACTTTGTTTAATTTCTTCTGGGGAAGTAGCATGACACATGTCCGAGTTGGAATGGTCTGAATTAAATGCAGCTCATCTGAACATTTGATGTGGAAAGAGTATCAGATTAACTTGCAACATTGCGTCTATGGGGAAAGAGGTTGCAGAGTGGAAAACAATTGTTTATGATTTTGTGTGTTTTTAGGTGTGGGGGTAGTTCAAAAGAAACACAGTCCTTCCAATTTAATTCCTTAATATTTTCTATTGATTTTTTTTTTTTTTTACTAGCAGGCTTTGACCACTTGCTTATCACTTTGCAAAATAAGATATATTCATTACTTGAAATCTTTTGAAACAAAAATTTTAAACGAACATTTCATTCATAAATTGGTTTGTTATAGTTAAGGAAAGTTTTACAAATAGATGCCAACTTGTTGAAGGCCAAGTAAAATGCAAGTTTTAAATACTTTTCTGCACTATATAAGATAATATTCCTGAACAGAACTATTTTTGATATAAGAATCAAAACAATCCTTGAATAAAAGAACAGTGATGAAGGACAAGTAAATCTTACTGGTCACAGGAATCCGTTCCAGTTAGTATCACGTCTATGACTAGCTTGAACCTGCTCTGACACCAGCTTGGACAAGCTAAAACCAGCAGCCCGAGTGAAGACACTCGGGCTCCCCACATTAAAAACTGACCTTTTGTCATAACCTGATTCAGTGGGAGAGGTCAAGTAAATACTTGAGGAGTTTCTAACACATTGCTTATCATCTCTCAGTTGCATCTCTGTCTTTGAGAAGAGTGTGCTCAGGGGCTACTCTGTCAAAGGACAGAGTTGCTACTGAGGAAAATTATACTGAGAGGTGCCCAACCCTGGGGAACAGATTCCCAAGGCCGCACCCTCTCATTGCACCAGAGAGAGGGATTGGTGCTTGTACCGAGGTCAGCGCAAGCGACAGTTGTGGGCAATTTTTGTTCCTTGCCCAGGTGTTCGTGCTTGGGTCCCCACCTTAAAAAAGACCTTATGTCACATCTTGTCTCCGTGGGGAGACAGTAAATACTGCATGTAAATTACTATAAAACACTGAGGCCAGCGCAGTTGATGGTTGTGGGGGCTCAGGCAATTTTTGTTCCTAGCCCAGGTGTACGCACTCTGGCTCCCCACATTAAACCGACCTTGTGGGGAGGGTTGAGTAAATACAAATTACTATAAAGTAGAAGTGGGGCTTTTTAATCTCAGAATTCGTGGGAGAATTGAGCTCCAATTTCGCCTTTATTCATATAGATTCCATAATATAGGTTTTACTTAATTAGCTATTATGTTTCTCTAACTCTTCAGATATTGAATGTTTAACTAATTCTATTTCTATTTTCACATCTTTACACTATATTAATTTTATCTTATAAATTGTCCCCTGTTCTGTCACCCATGAAATAAAAATAATTGTTTGTACAGAAAATAAGGATCTATGTACATCAAATCGTCTTTAAATTAAGTGGCAGCAGAAGAATTATCGTTGAACGTTTAAAAGGTAAACTTAAACATTACATTCAATACTTAAATGCAATGATCAATTTTGAGTTCTTCTGTAGTTTATTGATGCCTATCACATCTACTCACCCCTAGCTATTGTGATGATGACCAAACCAAGATTCCTCCACAGGAGCTAGCTTAAATGCCACCTGATAGGGCCGCTTTAAGTTAGTTTATAATAAAATGTGCACAGCAATTTTGGATACAAAAGAAAAATAAGAATTACCGCCCTTGAACCATGAAAGCAACGTATAATATATTAATATATATTTTTTACCCTTGCATAATCTGGCAAGTCCGAATCTGAGCTCAACAAAAATTGTTCTCTGCACCTAACTTTTCTAGGGCATTTGAATGAGCTATGAATCATTGAAATCAGACCAGTGGGAGCAGAGTAGTTGCTTGAACACACACATGCACATACACTGTACTTTATATATAAGATTATTTAATATTTGGTAAACTGGTCTGATAATATTTAGTAAACAGGTTTGATAATAACTAATATGTATAGAGTTGCTGGTTTTAGTTTGTAATTCTTTTACTAATATCAACTTGGTACTTTTCATACACTTCTGATGTTTTACTAATATACTTGGTAGTAATTAATATTTTGCAATTTCTTTGGAAATGTTACTTCCTGTAAAAACAAAACAAAAAAAAAAACAAACTTTGTATCAATCATTTTGCACTAAACAAAAGGCTTTCCTTTTTTACAGGCACGGTCAGTTGTGTGAAATTCAACGAAGAATCTTCTGTCATTCTCTCAGGTTCTGTTGATGGTACAATACGCAGCTGGGATTGCCGTAGTCGAAAAATGGATCCAATTCAGGTTGGTTCTCTCCTCTTTCATTGATTTTTAAGGGCCAAAATCATAAATTTTATCCTGGCATTTTTGTAAACTTGCAAGATTCATTTTGTAATTAATTCACATTTCTCAAATTAAGTTTTATTTAATTAACTTTTATTTTGATTTAAAATTAAACCATCAGTCGTAAGATTTTTGTATTTGAAGTTCACCGCCATTTCTTTATTTTCAGATTCTGAATGAAGCAAAAGACAGTGTGACATCAGTACAAGTATCTGACCATGAAATTTTGTCTGGATCAGGGGACTGCCGGATTCGTCGCTATGATTTACGGATCGGACGTTTGATTTGTGATTATGTTGGGAGTAAGTAAAATGCAAAATATAAATCCTCTCTTGAGAATAGCTTTTATTTTCTGTCAAAATGTAATTTTTTTTTACTCACATCCAAGTTAATTGAGCTTTCTTGAAAAATCTGCAAAACAGAATTTAACTGCCTACAAACTATTAAAAAGAAAAGTTTGAATATGCCAAGAAACCTTTACAAAGGTAATTTGCTTACAATCACAATATATATATATATATATATATATATATATATATACATACATATGCAATGTTATATATGATAAAATATAGTTTAAATTAGGTACTTCCTCTTTTTCACTGGAAAAAAAAACAAAAAACACCAGAGCATGATGAAAAAAAGGCCCTAAACTTAATAAAAACAAAGTTTTATTGTCAAAATATTTATTATTATTATTAAGAGGAAAAACCAAAGTATTTTTTTATTTTATTAAATTTTTTAATCCTTTCTTGCACATTTGAAATTTTGATTAAAAATTCTTTTTTTACGTCAACAGTCAACATAATGTTTAGGATTTGTATTCTTGTGCGTCCCCACACTTAGGTGAAAAACACCTTGATTTAGAAATTCTTGCAAAAATAATTCTTGGATTTTAATGAAACTTTCAGGATTTATTCATAAATGAATTGTTTTTTTAAATTTTTTTTTTTTTTTATATACATGTTTATCACACGTACTTAATTTCATGATATTTTGAGAAATTAAATTTCAGTCTCAAAATTTATCCTATTATCTAAAAGCAGGACTCCTTGGAGAATTTAAATTGGGTTTTCTTTGTAAAACAGGACACCAAGTTACTGAAAATCTGCACTGAATCATAAAATAAAACAAAATGCAATAAAACTTATTTAATTAGAAAAGCTTTTAATGGCGAGAGTTATTAAGGACACTATTATCTTAAAAATTTTTTTCTTTGAATAATGAATTTTTACAAGAATTGTTTTCTTTTTAATTTTCATTATAGTAATTTAAAATATTATAAATCATTTAAAATTCTGCATTACTTCATCCAGTTAGGTGATATTTTTATTAAGTGAAAACTATATTTACAAATCAGAAATTGAAAAGCTCAATAAAAGTCGTTTCCACCCAATATTTTTCAATATGTTTTGTAAGTATGCTAATCCATACATGACATTATCCTTAAAAGTTCATGTGTTTTAAGAGTTGTTGTACCCTACAAGAAAATTTGGTCTTCAATTCTTTCATTATTCATTTCTGTGTTTGTGTTTTTTTTTTAATTACTATTTCACTAAATATTTTTTATATATATATATATATATATATATATATATATATATAGTTTAGGGTATTGGATTATAATAGTAAAAGTGTAAACAATTACATAATTAATAATGAAATTTAAAGTACTATAAAATAACTTTAACATTTCATAACCATCAGGATATAACAATAATAAAGAATAAAATGAAAAACAAGATATTAGAAAAAATTATTGAGTCACTTTTATCATAGTATTTCATTAATATCTTAAATTAATTTAAAAATTTAATAACTTAAGAAAATGTTATGGTATATTAAATTTTATTTTTTCAGAAAGCATCTCCAAATGTTAGGCTATAAAGCCTAATGTTTGAAGATGCTTTCTGAGAAAATAAAAAAAAACTCAAGTAACTAAAATTCAATAAAATATTAGATACACTATTTACATTATTTGGACTATTGTCCTCATCTTTGTCACCATATTTATTACAACGTTTCAGCCATTGTACACTCTGGCCTTCTTCAGGTGGTTGGAATGTTGAACTGAACCCTTTATTTTGCTCACTGGGGTAGACTGTTCTAGTTCCACGTGCCATGTTTAATGGATGTCAGTTATCTCCTGTTAATTCCCCTCTCCAAGTTCTCCACTGCCTTAACCGAGTATTGAACTCACACTCTTTGGGTCCTGTCACTGGATCTAACCAACGCCTTTATCCCCTGTGTCATGTATCCTTGAGTGTAAATAGTGTACATAATACCCTCAGAAATATAGACAAAACATTAGTTAATTGCCAAAAATGTTAATTTTTAAAAATTACCATGTAGTTAAAAACCCCAAAAAGTGTTCACTTACATTTTGTAAATTTATGTCAATTCTGGTCAACCATAACTGACTGTCAACTTGTCAGACTGTCACTAAATCAATCAGTACATCAGAAAAACAAGACTCTATGGTTAAGAAATGCTTGTATACTACGTTTTATGCTATAAGTAATATTTGTTTCAAATCAGATTACGTTAACTTTAAATTTGCTAGTTTTCCTCAAATAACATGTCATATATATATATATATATATATATATATATATATTATTTTTTGGAAGATTTTTTAAAGTCAAGAATTAAATTTTGTTCTCAAATGTGTCAAAATTTGTGAAGATATCTGAAATGTAATATTATTTTTTTTTTTTTTTTTTTTTTGAAAGTGACCAAAAATTTAAGATTCCAATCAATATAATTTATGTTTGAAATACACCAGAGTATTTTGTTTACTGCAAATAGTAAATTTAATCATTTAGCTTTCAATTAACTCTACTTTTTCATTTATAAAAATTCAATTTAATTTATGGGTAGAAGTGTTTGTTATCAGTGATAGAACATATGTAAATATAAAAGTGGACACCAAGTCAACACTAGGTAGTGACAGTTTTATGTTTGGACGCAATCTTCAGGCCATGTGTGTTGTGTTTTGGATCTACTATTTATAAAATGCTGGTCAGTGGTGCATTATGGGTAGTAAAGTCTACTGCATTATTCTGACTTATTGGGTAAGTAACAGTTATGCTTCAAATTATTTTCGAGGCTACTGAGTAGGAATAATTATGGACCCTAATGTGGTTATTTGTAGTGTTGACTTTTTACTAATTATTTATTACTTAATTATTTGTTATTGATTATCATTTATTAAATTTACTTGTATTTGTGTGCATTGTAAGTTGTTAATTTATGTGGGGCAGTTTATCTTATTTAGTTAAAGTATTGGCTTTGTCTAAAGTATGTTACATTGATGGCAACTTGAAAAGCAATTTAGAAAATAATTAGGTTTGGCACAAGGTCACCAGTGTGGGGGAGGTCCTGCAATAATCAAATTTGTTACAGAGATGTATTAGTTTGAAGGCTAAGCTTAATATGGCACACTCGGGGACTATGAGCATGCACTTAAAAGTTCTGTTCAACTAAAGAATTAAAAGAAAAAAATTTGTTCACACTTTGGAAATTGTGTTGGGCTTAGAACTTTTCAGTTCCTTCTTGTAATAGCGGTTTTCAAAACTAGTTTGCTTATCCCAAGGAACTTGAAAAGACCGCATATTTATTTTATTGTTTCAGCTAGCCATTAGAAATGTCATCTTAAGCATTTGCAGTCAAATGATGATGCATTTGTGTTAAGTGAATAATTAGCAGCAGGCTCTTACTTTTAGTCTAGTTTGACATGAGGCTGGAAATGTAGAGTGCCAATTAAGTTGCACAGAGGTAAAGATGCTTTGGCAGGTATTTATTAGGCTTAGCTTAGTCTGGCTCAAGGTTATAATTGCTTAGCAACCAGTAAAATGACAATCATCTGAAAGCCAAGTTCGTTAACAATAACTTCATAGCAAAATGCCTAAAATAGTATTGTATAGGGATGAGATTTAGACATAACAAGAGAAGTAACTCTTTCTTGAAACTAATCAGGTAATTTGCATTGATGAGCAAAGCATTAAAAACTGGGGGGGGAAAAAAAAAGACAAACAAACTGCCATTGTTAAAGAATATTTTTCTCCCCTCACTCGTGTCCAAATATTTCCAACTTGCCACATTATTTTTCTTGGAAGCTTGTCTACTTTATTTTTTGCATTGATAGTAAATGAAATTGTTTAACTTTTTTTTTTTTTTTTTTTTTTTTCAGAAACAGAAACTGTGACATGTGTCAATTTCACGCGTGATGACCAATGTGTCTTGGTCAGCTCATTGGATGGAGTTGTTCGTCTTTTTGACAAACAAACGGGAGAACTCTTGAATGAGTGAGTATCAAACATCTTTCCTAATAAGAAACTTTCATCTTTTTTTATAATTTTTCCTAATGGAAAATCTAATTATTAAATGAAATTTTTTTTCTAGGAAAAATTCCAGTGTATTTTGGCAGTTTTGAAATCAGCCATAATGATTTTTATTTTTATAACCTTTTCCATCTATTAACTCTCCTCTAGCATTTTAATCTCCCAAAAAGGCTTTCTCTAATTCAAGATAGTTTGCTTAGCACTTTCCCTGAATATCAATGGATTACATTATGTAATGAAATATTTGGAAAGAAAAATCTGAGCTCTGTCCGGAAAAGATTGAAACATTTAATATTAGCAAAAGACTATATTGGCTAGGGTAATGCCATTTGAGTCCCTTTGAATTATTCTCTTTAAGGGAATAATAACTTCTCCTAGTGTCCCTTCCATTTGAAAAAAATCCATCTGCAAAGCTGTCTTTTTAGAATTGCTATCAGTTCTTGAAATCTTCTCCCTTTCAATGGTGATTGTAAGTTTGGGAAAAGCTAAGCAGTATATACTTTTGTGATATGTTGTCAAAAATATCTGCACAAGATGATATTATGAATGTGATGGTTATATAATATACATGTGTACTCAGGAGAGTCTGTTCTCTCTGATATCAAGGCTGTACAACCAGTATTTGAGATGTTCAATGACTGGATTTGTTTCTGGACAGACCTTGGGTGCTAGCTGCAGTGTAGTATTTGAGAAGCAAATTCTTGATTGGATCCTCAAATAATTTAATTCAATTATACCATGGTTCTCTGTGGAACTAGACGTTATCTATAGAAACCCTAACTGAAAGTTCATTAACATGGCTTTTGTATTTTAACCAACCTGATTATGTTGGCTATTTCACTGATGTGTGAATGATTTTTAATTTTCATTGAAGAGTTGAAAACTTCAATGAAGATCAAGCAGTGTTGTTGTGGAAGCAACATTAAATTTATATTTGCCATTATGGATATTCTAATCCAAAAGAAACCTAGGTGTTATAGGTCTCCTTGTAGAGTGCCTTACCATGAAACAAACGTTGTTAGCAAACTAATCTTACTACTGTACTGGATTCAATCCTAACTGGGTGCCTGATCAGTTGTTGTCTGATCCAATTATCAGCCTTGTAAATATCAATACTGATTACAAAGATGGTTTGTAGATGAAATGTATGGATGATACGTAACACTTAAAATATTTCTAGACAGTGAAATATCGATGATTTTAGCAGTAAATAAAAATAAGTCTATAATTGAAGATAAAACAAATAAGATAGTTTACAGAAACCTGTATTTTTCAAACTATTCATGCTGAAAAAGGCATCAGCTGATGGGATAACGGTACGACTTATTTATTGTTCAAATCATTTGGCTATTGTCAATACAAATACTGTACATGATTTTTTTTTTTTAATGCAAAAAAAAAAAAGTGGGGGGTGCACTATATACAGGTATTTTTTTGAAGAGTTTAAAAATATTGCATTTACAGTGACCAATTACACAATAAATAAAAATCAGGGGGTTGCACTATACATGAAGTCAGCTTATACACAAGTACATACGGTAGCCTGAAGTGTTATTTCTAAAAGTATACTGTTAGTACCGAAGCTTGACTAATTGGAATTGCTTGTATTCTTTCCACTTTCACTGTCTCCATGTAACTGACTTTTTTGTGACTATATCAACTAAGTTTGGCTCAAAATTAATAACACATACAGAGATTTAAATTAACCTGGTTATGAATTGCTCCAAGTTCTAAGATGAAGGAGGAGGAGATATACATGGGAAGTTTTAGGCTTGTTTTAGAGAAAAATGATTAATAATGTTTTATGTACTTTCCTACTACTCTTTACATGTGGTGTTCCAACTTTAATAAAAAATATTTAAATTTTTTTATGCATTTTATAAGCTAGCAAATGTTTTATATTATTGACAAGGCGCATGTCTTCTGAGAGCATTCGTTGATAGAGAATTGGTCTCCAGATCTCTGCATCAGAAAACAAAAATGACAAAAATTGCATAGAATAAAGATATTTCTGTCCTGAAGTAGCTGACATTTTGTCAGGTCATACTTGTGCCATATTGAAAACAGTACAATTTTTCCATAAGTCATAATAATGCCTGCTATCTGATACTTGATTTAAACAATACTTTGTAGTAAGTCTTTTTAAAAAATATCAGGGTGCATCAAGAAACTATATATGTATCTATGTTTGAGGAATCTTTTTTTGTGAGATTTTTACTTCTTACTCTGGCAGTGAAAATTGGATAGTACTCAAGACATTTTTGTAGACGGTGATAATTTCCATGAAATATCATTGTGTGTGTGTGTGGGGGGAAGAAATCTTTATTGCGAGTGGTTAATACCTTGAAAATTAACGGATGAAGTAAATACCTTTTTTTTTTTTCTCTTTCCAGATACAAAGGTCACAAGAATACTGATTACAAAATTGACAGCTGCATGAATGATAAAGATGACCAAGTACTGAGTGGTTCAGAAGATGGCCATGTCTATATTTGGGATCTTATTGAAGTAAGTTGAAGGCTTTTATTCCATCCTTGCAATCAGACATAGTGGGGAAAGGTGCTGAAAAGGTTCTTGGCCAAAAGAGGGATTAAAACAAAATTTCACCAACCCTCACATTGTGATCTATGAGAGAGGTTTGCATTGTTCTTCAACTATGAATTGAGCTCACCTGGCCGCTGGTGCATTCCATAAAGAAAACTTTTAAAATTTCCCTTTCTCTCGATTGTGTGACGATGGGGTAGGATTTCTGACTGATGCCAAATTGTTTGGGTTTTGATCCAGGCTTCAAGCAATTGGTCACTTAGCCACAGCTGAAGAGCTGTGAAACTGTCTGTCAATGACACACACACATATATATATATATATATATATAAAAATGATACATACAAAACAAAGTTTTCAATAGAAGTGTGCATCACTTTATTGCACCATTTTACAAAACATTTTATGTGAATTATTAAAAGAGCATTTGTAAAGTTTAGGGGGAGTGGAATGGAGATTTCTTACTGAATGATTTGTTGCACATGTGTCGGCCATTTCAGATTGATAATAATAAATACAGGATTTGAGAAAAGTTTATTACTTCTCTTAAAAGCAACAAATTTCTTAAAAACAATTCTTATTAGCGGTTGGCTTTTAATAAATGGAGCATGTACACAGAAAGAGGGGAGAAAAAAAAAATTTAAGCGTTTTTTTTTTAATTTTTTAAGCTGGTGAATGAAACCCAAGTGAAAAATGAAGGCTGAAAAAAACTTAGATATTTGTATTATTTATCTCTGAATGTGAGAAACATTAAGATCTTTTGGTCTAAAATTTTGAAAGAACCATTATCTTGTGTGTGTGTGTGTGTGTGAGAGAGAGGTCTTTTGCTTATTAAACTAATTACAAAATACAAATGTGGAAAATTTACTTCCAATATGAGGTAGGTAATTTTAAATGATAAAGATTAAATGTGAATAATACGAATGTGCTTAATATTCTTGATAAATGAATTCCTGCAGCACAATTAAAGCATGAAAATTAATTTTCAGTAAAATTATTAAAGTGATTTAACCAAAATTTTTAAATTGTATTTGTATTTATTCATTTTTAAAACTTAAATTTTAAAAAAATCTAAATTATTTATTTCCTTAATATTTTCATTATGTTAACTTTAAATAAAATAAAAAAGCTCCAAGTTTGCATACAAGTGATGAGTTGGGGCGGGGGGTCGTTTAAAAACAAAAAACATGAATTAAGAAAGCAATGAAAATTGGCTATAAAAAAAAAAAAAAAAATGCTGTTTATTGGATTGGAAAGTTGTTGATAAAGGTCTTTTCAGAAAAATAAACAATTAATTCAAATAGTAATTTTAATTAGAAATTGAAAGAAGTCCTTAACAAGAAGCATTCAAAATTAAGAAAAAAAAAAAAATTGTGTATCAAGTTAATGCCATTTTTTGTCAGCAACATTTTGTTGATTTAAGGTCTTACATTTTGGCAATTATTCACCCAGAAAATAATCTCCACTCAAGATTAGAATTAAATGCTCCTTAGCATGTTAAGAGACATCAGATTTGTATAATATTTTCAATGATGGAATTTTTTATTTTATTTTTTTTATTGACACGGTCAGAGAAATTTGGGGAGTGACGTCTTTAGTTTTTACTTTACTTTCTATTGCAAAAGAAAAAAAAAGAGAACTGGGGATGGGGGACTGTAAATCAAATACAATTGTCAAGGAAAAAAAAAAAAAAAATTACAAATGAAATGAAAAAGCTAGACCTTATAGAATAAAACTATCTCTCCATTTGACTTTTTTTTTTCTCGTTTCTCCAGGCAAAAGTAAAGAAGAAATTGTACCATGAGACAACTCGTCCAATTCATTCTCTGTCACATCATCCTAAAAGAACCTGCTTGCTGACTGCTTCAGGTGGTAATATTTATTTGTGGTTGTCACCTTATGAGACAGACCAGTGATGTCACCAAGTGGAGTTCAGCCATCACATTACCTTTTACAAGTTTCAATGTCCAGAGTAAGGGATTGAACCTAGATTCTTTCAATTCATATATATTTAAAGGAGATTGACTGCATGATGGATGAATAGTCAACAGTGGCCAGAGAGTTCAGCCATCAAACAAAAAAAATATTTTTCTATGCTAAAGTTTTGTATAAAAATAAAGAAAAATAATAGTTTTTCTCTGAAGTGAAGTTTAGTTTGCTTATTGATCTGAGAGAATCAACTAGAATTGTTGAATGCAGAATATTCCTTAAATAGAAAGTTTGAGTGAATTTGAATCTACATCTGGAGGTGCAGTTAATGGAGTTGAGAACTGTAGATGGAAAAAAAAACAAAGAAACTTGCTGTTGGTACCCTCATAACCCAATACAACCTGTCACATAGAGAAGATGAGTCCTGGTAAATAACCATACAAAAGTCTCTGCTTTAAATATTCAATCATTGAAGTGATATGTTGATTAAGTTGACCCCAGAATCTTTAATTTGAAGATGACGGCTATAATTATTTTGTTGTGAGGTCAAGGAAAGTAAATTAAAAAGCCGGGGGTGTGTGTGTGTGTGTGTGCGCGCGCATGTCTTGGAGGTGGGGGATCCTACAAATTTACCTCGGCAAAATTAAAAAGATGTGCCAAATAAATGGTAAATTAGGAAATTGTCAATAGTAACATAACACAGAGTATGGTGGGTAAATTGTCGCCGTTTTATATTTTTAATTTTTTGCAGTATTTGTTTTTATTTTTTGAGAACTGCACAGTAAAGTAGGGCCAGTTGCAAGCAAAAGAGCATCAATGGAAATGACATTCATGCTGTAAGTTCCAATAAGAACATTGCATAGTGGTGTCAATCTGAACTGTGCAGATGATTTGGAAAGAGTTGCAAATGGTGATTACAAAAGTACAGCAGCTTGGAAAACCCACTCTGATCATTCTGATTAGAAAACTTCCAAATTTGTTGGGAAGGCCTTAAACTCAACACAGAGACCTACAGCAAGTGCCTTGAGGAGGTAGTGTTGTCCTGGGTCAAGAGGGTGGTTGTTGGAAAACCCTGTGCCTGGTATAATGCCAAACAAGCAGAACTCCATCATGGCTGTCAGACAATTCCTGCAAACACATCACCCTTGTATCTGGCCACCTAACTCCAGACTGTAACCCCCTTGCTTATGTGTGAGATGCAGTTGATCAAGAGACCAACAAAACTCCTTGTAGCACCAAAGATGAACTGAAGTCAAGGATTATGGCAGAATTCACCAACCAGAAGAGTTTTAGTAGGTAACCTAAATTTAGGAATGGTGACTAAATTTACTATAGCTATTACTCTTATCTTATGATAAAAATGGGTATGTTATATAACAGAGGTTGGCAACCTATGGCATGTGTGCCACGTCAAGCAATTTGCAATGGCACACAGCCGCAAGTGACATCACAAGGTCCAACCCAATAACTTACTACAGCACAAAGATAGCTGTTTTAATTTTTTTATATATTACTATATAAAATATATTGTATTGACCTTGACTTGTATAAAAATATGTATGCTGTTGGTACACTGAATGATTTGTAAACCTTAAGTCAGCAAAAGGTTGCAGACCCTTGTTACATAATATTTTATATATATATATATATATATATATATATATATATATAAAAAAAAATCTTGGTGCAAAATGATTTGTATTAGGCTTTTCAATTTTTGATTAGTAAATACAGTTATATATCACCTAACCGTATGAAATTAATGTAGAATTTTAAAGGATTTATATATTATAAATTACTATAATAAAAAAAAAAAATCAAGACAGTACTGTCCTTAATAAATCTTATAAAAGCAATTAAAAGCTTTTTTGATTAAATAATTAGTGTTATTGCATTTTAATTTTATGACTCAGCAGATTTGAGTAATGAGTAATAGTTTGGAGGAGGAGAAAAAAAATAAAAAAATTCAGTTTTCTTTTCCAGTGAAAAAAAAAATTGAGGTACCTACTCTTTATTCCAAGATATTTTTGCGTAATTTTGGTAAATATCTGTTAAAATGAGATATCAGTTTTATTTTCATTTTTGCATCCTTTAGACGACAATTTTATTCAATGCACCCTCGATATACATACATCCACAGTAAGGGGGGGGGAGAAGGTGGATAGTTGTTAAAAAGCTTCAAGGTGTATGCTATGCTGCTGATTAATGAAGAAACATGATGTAGAATATCATACATTTGGTTGTTTGCTTCTTGACAGAAACCCTTTCTCTGCATTTATTGAAATAAGTGAGAACCTATTTCTGTAATTATAGAAAAAAAAAAAAAAAAAAGCAGAAATATACAAGTATAAATTATATTTAAAAACAATGACACCTGACTAATACTGTACACTTAAGAATATTATGAAAAAATTATTTATTATTATTAATTTTTTTTTTTTTTTTAATTGTGGAGATACAAGTTTAAATAAAAGAAATAGACCACCCATCACCATTGACGCACAGAATTAAGAGACATTGCTAATCTTTAATGTTAAAAGTTTTTTTTGGGGGGTGACAGAGAAGACTTCAATGGTGAAAATTGTATAAAAGAAATGAAATTCGATTTGCAGTGAATGATATGAAAAGTATTAAGAGCCCCTTCAACTGTGAATACCCCCCTCAGTTGTTACAAGAGGAAATACTTTAAAGTCAACAACTATTTTGAAGTAGCAATTGCTAGGCAATGTTAACTGTAACACAAGGCCATATATAGAATACAAAGATTGCTTTACATTAAAATTGGCAAAAAGGCCAATACCCTAGAATGTTAAAATAGAATTCAGTGCTACAAAAAAAAAAAAAAAAATTCTTGTCTCATTCTTACAAATGCCATGAAATAAAGTAATTGCAGAAAGTGAACAATGGCCACTTACAGAATCATTAGCATTATTTACAGATTTTCCAAGAAAACAAATCTGCAATTAAAAAAAAAAAAGTGACACTACTGTATAAAATAATTACCACTGTACCAACAGTTTTCCACAGTGAGGTAGGGTGGAAGGTTAATTGGAGTTAAAATTTATCAAGTGAAGGGACAAAAAAAAAAAAAAAAAAAAAAAAAAGGAGGTGGAAGTAATGAGGAATGAAACCTTTATTTCTGGCTCCACAATAATTTGTGGAAAGAGGAGGGAATGAATTTCAGTTCATTTTCAGTGATATAAAAAAAGATAAAAATTTCCTCTTTTTTTTTGTGTGTTTTTCCAGGAGATAAATTTGAACGTTTTTATGTTGGTCTGGAGGCTACGATGATAACTTGCATAGTAGAACACAGTGTTGACCACCTCCTGATATAGAAGCTCCTTTTCTGCAATGGAAAAGATTTTATTCAAACTAAAACAATGAAACCAATACAAAGCACAACAAATTTAACATTTTTTTTTTTTTTTTTTAAATACATAACTAAATTTTCTGAAATCTTTACTTATATATTTATTACATGTAGTCATCTTTAAAATTTGCTTCATATTTTTCTCTCCCCCCCCCCAGAAGAGAATTATAAGATTGAGCACTAAAGTCTTGTGTCAATGAGAGAACACGTGCCCATTCCTCCCAAACGAAGTGGCATTTTCTTGATCAGCCTTGCCACAGGAGGGCTTAACTATAATTTTTTTTAAAGCTTTGGTTTTCTACAATTATTTATTTCTCCATTCCTTTTGAAGCATAAGAAAGCTAAAATTGGAAATATTAATCAGATCAAACAATTATGCAAAAATTCATATTGAGAGAAAAAGAAAAAAAAAAACAAAGTTTTTACATATTAATCATACACCTGAAGATTGTGTGGCAATAATAAAATTAACAGGTTGAAAAACTTTGAAATAATAATGACATTTCAAAGTTAGAGATATCTGCAGTTAATGGATTGTTGCTAAGTGGAATTTCCTTTGTTGCAATTCTGTGGGTTAAGTTAACATCAAGAAAGACAGCAACTGAGCTGATCCTGACGAAGTTAATGAATTAATCAGTGTTATTACTTTCATCTCAAATTGGTCAATCATTTACTTATTATTATTATTATCATTATTGGGGGCAGCAACCTTATTTTTTCTTAAATGATTATTTAATCTTTAAAATTACTTTCCCCTCAATTTTTTTTTCAACACAAACGTGATCAAAGTAAGCAATTCTTAATTTCCATATTTCTCATTTAATTCTTCTTTCTTTTGTATGAACTTCAATCCAACACAATAACTTTCAGATATCATCTAAAATGTCTATGTTTATAAACTCACCCAAGAACGAATAAGTTTATGCCTGTCCATGATACAAAGGAGGGAGGAAAAAAAAACAAAAACAAAAAAAAACAAAACACCAGATATTACATTTATATTCAAGGAATATGAGAAGAAAGGTTTAGGCTTTGGGTTCTTTATCAACATACCTGTCTGTAAGCTGTTTGCCACTCATCACAGTTGGAATCCAAGAATCGTCATCGGACCCACTAGCTAACTGATAGTTGGTTCCCATTCCCCAGGAATAAAAAACACCTATAAAGATAAAGAAAGAACTAAAGTTTTATTTAAGGCCAGGAAAATGGAGAATCACGCGCACTCACAAAAAAAAAAAAAAAATCATCTAAACAGACTTAAAGAAATTCATTGAATGAATAAGACACATACAATAAATGTCACAGCTATTATGAGACAAGAGTAATATTAAATTTGTTGTACAAGTGAGAAAACTAGGTAGGAAATATTAAGAACACATACAATTGATTTAATATTAACTTCTCAATTCACTAGATTAAAAATGGAGGATAATGATAACTAGAAAAATTTCATGTTTTTTCCTATTTTAATTTTTTGATGAATCTTAATTCTTCAGTAAATGAATGAATAAATTCATGGTGAGTTCTATGACCAGTATCTGTAGAATTTCCCCTATGGCATTGTTAAATATTTCAGCTTTAACAATTTTAACAAAATCTTGCAATAAGTCATAAATATGAATGCTGGTTGTTATTTTAAGACGTGGGTGGGTAAAAATAAAAAGATTTCAAATTGTCAACATTTTCCATTTTACTGAAACATTAAATTCCCTTCTTTCATTCATTTTCTCACTGAAACCAAGAAGAATTTTATAATGCAACTGAAATGGAAGAGTCCATAAAATACTTCTACCTTCCCTTCCTGAAACTAAATCGTTTTCTCTTTCCCCACAATCAAAATGAAATAGTTCATTATTCATGAGGTATTGGCAGAACTTAATGGTTGTGCGAGATAATGAAGAGTGGAACACCCACAATTATAATTGTGGTGGATTAGAAAAAAGGAACCATAAAGTCATAAAGACGTGGAAGAAAGAGAAAATAATACTTAAATATTTATTTCCTTTTATTCTGTCAAGAATCAATCAAGGTTGGAGAAGTGGCCAGCAAAAAATGTGGAATGGAAATGCATAAACCATGTGTGTGTGTACATTATATATATATATATATATATAGTGAGAGAGTTAATCCTCAATGGATCAATTGCATCTGGCATAAGCTAATTCTGTTAATCTGAATATTGACAACCAAAGAAATGAAAAACTGGCTGCCAGCATTTTATAGAAGTCACCACTTGGTGGCACTAAACAACAACTAAAAGACAAGGGCAATAACATTAATTAACACAAACCATCTGAAGTAATTGCATAAGATACAGCAGCTCCAGCACCAATTGCAACAATCTTTTCATCTTGGAGGGCCTTTACTAAAGTTGGTTCTTTTGTTTCTGAAACATTTTCACCCAATCCAAGACGGCCATATTCACTTCGACCAAATGTGTACACATGATCTGTTGAAAGTAGGAACAAAGATAGAAAAAAAATAAATAAAATTAAAAACTATTTCGGGTAGAAGACAAGTAAAAGTTGATTTAGGAAGTTATTTCTACCTGCTTATGAATACAATGTTTTATGCTAAAGTAAATATAATTGTAATGCGTTTATAGACAATGGTTCATATTGTCAACACAAAGAATTCTGAGCAGTTTCTATAGTCCAAAAGAGAGTGCACAATAGCACTAAAATGCTTTATCTTGAAAAAGAAAACATTTCCTGTTGAATGACTACCACCTCCAGAACCAGTTTTATCATTTGTAAATGGTGATATTTTAAATAGCTGCTAATGTTTAACTTGTCTCCTTTGTCTTATTGATAAAAAGGAAGAATCCATCACGTCTGCATTCCACTATCAGCCATAGTGGCATATCAGTAATGGTGATAAATAATATCAAATTATTTTAGATTTATACTTTAAGTAAAGGTCATAAAAACAGCATTTAAGTGAATTTATTGTTAAAAGGAGTTTTTCTGTATGTGACAATTTTTAAGGTGGAGACCAAAATACACAATGATACGCAAATACAAAGAATATCTTAAAAAGTAAAACATTGTAATTTACTATCCACAGAGTTTCTAATGTTACCCACAGTATAGTTAACAAAAAAAAAAAAAAAAAAAAAATCTGTTGAACTTAATTTCCTTTTAACCAAAAGTGAATAAATTTAAAGCCCAAAAATTGGAAAATTACACAAAGGCTGCTCAGAAATCCCTAATGACAAATTGAAAGTACAGAATATTTTCCTTAATGATTGATATGCAAATAAACATAGCAAGTACTTACTGTCAGAACTAAGGGCTACTGTATGATGTTGTCCCCCAACAATGTCCAACCATTCCTTAGAGCATTTGAAAGATTCTACTTTTTCAGGAGTGAAACGGTTCTCCATGTCTGACAATCCTAAAAGAGAAAGATGAAAAGAGAATAAAAGTAACATGGAAATTAAGACTTCACAGAAGAAAAAAGGGTGACAGAAAATGACGAGGAGACTTACCTAATTGAAAATAGTTGTTCAGTCCCCAAGCATAAATGTTTCCATTACTATCTTGTGCAAATGAAGTGTATTGGCCTGCCCATATATCAGTAAATTTGGGCTGAGATTTCCTAGATAGTTTACACCGAACAACTTCAGGAGTTAAAAGAAGCTCTAAAGAGAGGGGGGGAAAAAAAAAAAAAAAAGAAAGAAAAAGACAATTTATACATACACACAATCAGTGTCGAAGGATCATTTTTAATCCGAGGTATACAATCCATGATGACAAGAGAAATCTGAGAAAATAATAAAAATCCACAAAACAGCAATCATAATTACCTAACCCCTTTCTTCCACCTCGTTCTGTGAAGTGACTGGCAATTCTTCCCAGCTGTCCTTGTTCTGCACAACCTACAAAGCAGAAGAGAAGAAGTAGATTATCACACTTACAAAAAGAGAGGTTTTCGGGTGGAACACATGAACAGAATCTCAACTTGTTCTAATTTTATCTTGTTTAACAATATTGTCAGTAGGATTGAACACAATTAACATTCATATTGTACAACCTTTATTAACCCATTAATGGTGATAAAAGAAGCTTAGCTGACACACTCTGAAATGTAATTTTGGATTATCGATTTCCTTTATTTTGACACGAGATGTTCCAATAAAAAAAATTTCTTGTTGAGTGTCCACTCAGTTTGTGAATTACTTCATGTATTTGTTATTTGATAAATCCTCAATTATGATCTCATCAATAAATTCTTCAGTACCAGATGAAAAATCTAAGCTCGACCGAATGGGTTCACATCAATGATGATTTGCAGTACTATTTCAAATTGGAGAAAAATTTTGAAATTATCCTTGCAAACCAAGATAGGTACTTGTCTTCATTCAACGACCAGAAACTATCTAATGGCTTCTCACACACACACACACACAGAGACTAAACTGAATTTTTATCAACCACTTATTGAACCTGAAAAACTGCAATGACTGGAATTCTTGTCATCTGCAGTTAAATAGGGATAAACTTTTTGTTTATTGTGGCTTTAGTCAGACTAAAGTGCATAAATATTGATATTCTTACTTTGACAAGATCCTTCCTTAAGCAAGAAGAAGGACGTTTGGAAGGAGGGGGAATGAAGATCTTATTTGTAAAACTAAATGACTTTATTCAAACTAGTGCCATCAACTTGGTTGTTATAATCAATGTTTCGGTTATTGTACCATCAATCTTCAGGTAGTTACTACATTCGGTAATGTTCTTAATTTGACATGAGAGGCTGTTTGCATTTTGCTAATTTTATAATTAGTTATCGTGTTAATTTGCCCCAGTGATGCCAAATTTCCTTATTCTGCTGAATTCCACTGAAGAAAGCCAATATGCTACTCTAACACCACCTTGATTTTTGAACAGGAGTAGAGGTTCATTCCTGGCTTCCTGTTTAGCTTTGGGTGTCTGCTTCCTTCAAAAGCCAACTTCAACTCTATACTTTTAATATTTCCACCTAAACTGTGAAATTTACTCTTTTTGTTCAATAAGAGTAAAGAAGTTTGCCTATCATCCATTTCACACTCCTTCTTGGTCTTTTGAACAGGAGTAGAGGTTTATCTTTTGTTTCCTGTTTAGGATTGGGTTTCTGGTTCCTTCTAAAGTCTTGTCATTCTCCTTCACTTAGTGTCATAACTCTTGCCTTGCTTGGGATTAAATGATTAAAACAGAAATCAAATCAATGGAAATAAACCAGTGTACTATAACAATTCTTCATTTCAGAACTTCATAGAGTAGTAAACACCTATTAACATGAGCCTTGTTCTTCAATAGCCTCCTCAGATATAGACTCATGTTGATGACATGCACAGCATCCATCTCTCATTCAGAAATGAGTAAGCTATCAGCTACACACAGTTTTCTCAGATCAATGATTAAAAATGGCTTCAAACAAATGAACTGTGGGCCTGAAAGATTTTCCAGTTCCATCAGATCCTATAAACTGGTGTTACAGAATCACAAAAAAAAAAAAAAAAAAAAAAAAAAACTTTACCAAGTGATAAAAATCCCATGACTTGAAGACTTCCAACAGCAGCAACAATGAACATGGGTAGTACATGAAGGGAACAATAATGATATAATCAAGATGGTAACTTTCCACATTATCTTAAATAAAAGGTTGGGAAAGAAACTCCTATTGATATGAGAAAGGAAGATAATCGTGAACTTGAGAAGCTCAATTTCCTGAAAAATCGTTTTAAGACATTTTATAAATCTCAAGCAACAGTTTAGTTGGAAGGAATGCCAAATGATTCCTGCATATAAACAGCTAATTTTCACTCTCACTTGATTAATTGCGCTTGCCATCTCCATAAAAGAGGAAACTGAGGGGGGTGGGGAGATCCAAGAGAGGGGACACAGGAAAATGTTGTTTGAAAGAGATAGGGGAGGGAAAAAGGATTACCTGCTGTATATATTCTACCATCAATTGTCAGCAAGAGTAAATGGTCTCCTCCAGAGGCCACCTTCACAAACACTTCATTAGGTAAATATTGAAGTGGAATTGCCTGTGGGCCTGCTTCTGTTAATCCTATTGAGCCACTGGCATCCTAGAAACAGGAGAAATGAAATAAGAAAACATTACTTTTTCCAGTTATTTACTACAAAAGAGAGGGAGAGAGAGAAAAAAGGCATTCATGTAACTTGTCCTTGTATGAATAAATTAATAACTGTCTTCAAAAACAAACCTGTGATTAAAGAGAAAAATAAAAATTAAATTTACTGCCCAGAGCAGTGAGTGAACTCACAATCTCTAGCTTTTAATAAAGATGTCACCCCTATTGACTGGAATATGATCACCCCCCCAGTGGAGATCTATAAAAGCCAATGTTTTTTTATTATCTCTCTAGCAGGTGATTTGCCAGTTACCTGGAGAGCCTTTGTCACTTAGTGGATTAAGCCCTACTAAGGATTTTTGTCAGTTGTTCAATTAATGAGAGGTTCAAGTGGAACAGAAGACTTATTTTTAATTTAAACTACAAAGCCTCTTTTTTTTGTTTTTCCTTTATATATTCCAAAGAACTATTCTTAAGATTCTTGTAACAGGCTCCGCCTCCCCATTTTTACCTGGTTTTTAAATTCATTTTTAACCCAGTCTCATTTAATTTTTTTCTTATCCAGCTGGTGGTTTGAAAACTCGCCAAATTATTTTTAAGTTGTAGGTGAAACGGCCATTACCCTGAAGTAGTCTTAATTCCTATTGGATGCAATGTATGCTCTGTTTTAATAAAACATTGAGCTCTTTGTGTAAATCAGTTTTGATAGTTTTATTAAAAGGATTCACTTGGACTATTTACCAACAGATCATTATATATATTTGCATGCACACACATACATTTTTTTTTGTCCCTCACCATTTAGTACAACTGAGCTTCATGTATGCGGCAATAGTCGGGTGTGGAATGAAAATTTGGCTAATATTTACAATGTACCATTTAGTGGAGCGGACCCTGTGTTATATATATATATATATATATATACACACACATATACATGACAATTATCAATAAGTAAGTAATTAGCACATTTTCATGATAAGTATAGAAAGGGTTAATTTTATCAGATGTGTTTTTAGTAAATTTAGCCATTTCATTTGCATATAAAATTTTATACCTAAACTATTCACATATCTATTTTTAGATTTCATTATATATATATATATATATATATATATATATATATATATATAAATAAAAAAAAAAAAAAGAACAAGATATAAAATCGGTGTTCTTATAGATATTTTAAAAAATTAAATTCAGGGTTTTAGCTTCTATTTTGAAACATGGTTGGAACTGTAGTAAAAAAAACCATATTTTAAATCAATTAATTTATAATATATATATATATATATATATATATATTTTATATATATATATATATATTATATATATATATATATATATATATATTTTATATATATATTTTTATATATATATATATATATATTTTTATATATATATATATATATTTTATATATATATATATATATATTTATATATATATATATATATATTTTTTATATATATATATATATATATATATATATATATATATATAATAATATAATATATATAATATATATATATATATATATAAAGAGCTAATTGTTCCAAGTGGTAAAAATTTGGCTCATGTGCCAGATAGTTTATAGTTACCTATTTATATTTGACTAACATTTTCACTTCTATAATTTTGTTTCATCCACTTAATAATAAATTATCATAAAAGAAGACAAGAAATTCAGGAAGTGTATACTTACTGACATAGCAATACTATCTGAGAGAAACACTTCCATAAAAATTATTGAGAAATTCTCTGAAGGACTTGGAGATTGAAACTAACAGAATGTGGGGAATGAAGACTGAGAATGCACCACTAGTAATTGGAGCTCTGTGCCTCATGAGAAAAGGAATGGACAATTTTACTAAGTGTCCCAAGTAACATCAATGTACAAGTTGCCCAGAAGATCACCCTGCTAGGAACATCCCATATACTAAGAAAAGTGCTATCAATTAAATAACACTTCTCCTGTAGGGCCTAAGGACCATAGTTTGAACCTGACTCTACCAGACACAAAGCAGGAAACATAACATACACAAATAATAAAAGTGCAGGATTGAACTTTCAACTGTTGAGAAATGCTATTTTTTTTTGAGCAATGTTTTAATACACTAGGCTGTGTCGGTTGGTTAAAACATTAGGTCCCTTGGCAGTTGTGATTTCAAACCTAGGTTTGGTAGTGCTGTGGAAGAAACAAAGAACTGAATAAGTCCACTGAGTATGGATATGAAATATCCATTAAATAGAGAAAGTGGAGTGAAAACATTTTACTCTCATAGATTGTATAAAGGTTTCAGTTTGAAATTATAACATACAAATGCTGGAGAGAGGAGAAAAAAAAGGGGGAAGAAGTGCTCACCCTAAAATTCCCCCATACAAAAACTTTGCCATCTTCTGATAATGCTGCAGTGTGACTGTCTCCAGCTGAAACTTGAACAATGTTTTCTGGTATGTCTACAAGACTAAATTCTGTTTCTGAACCCTCTTTACTTGTATCTCGCCCGAGTGCATTTTCATCGTTACAGCCAAATGTATACACCTGAAGAAGAGAACATGTCAAGATTAAATTTTGCCAAAATAAAACCCAACAACAACAAAAAAAAAAAAAAAAAAAACCCACTAATAAAATAAAATGTGCTTTAGGATTGCAAATATTTCCATTTTTCGTATGACATTCAAAAATAGTTTTTTTCATTTATAAAATTTTTTAACTTTCATTAAAAAAAAAAAAATAAATAAATAAAGCAAGCTGCTATTTATCAACTTTTTCACCTGCCACTTAAGTTTTATCAAATAGCTGCGTCATATACTTAAAAATATTTTTCTTCTATACTTAACAAGTGTTTATTTATTATTTTTTGTATCACTTGTTTAAAATATCTTTGTTCTTGATCGATACAGAAACAAAAACTTATCAGACAATTATTTCCACTTTGCATCTTGTATGTGGAATAATTAGCAGTAATGTGAAACCAACAATAAATCCATGTACGGTATGAAAGGGCTTTGGATAATTTCCAACAGTGTCGGATTTACATCTAACTCATTGGCAAAAATACAACATGTCAACATAATTGTTTTACCTTGCCCGACTTGGAGAGACAGACTGTATGCATGCCACCTGCACACACCTGGACAATCTGATCAGGCAAGTTGACTAAACAAGGCCGGGTTTTTTCAAGGACATCAGGACCAAGGCCTAACTGACCTACATCTCCATTACCGACACACAAAACAGCACCTGGTTCCGTCTGGTGACTTCTGTGAGATACTGAAAAAATAAAAAGTGACAGAAATATATACAAATACATCATGCTGACAATTGATAGAAAGAAAAAAAATACTCAATTTTAGATAAGTTTTCAAGGAATTGTTTTGATTTGTATCAATCATTCAACTTTTAAACCTGTCATTTACAGTTTTGAGATTCTGCTGCAAATTTTTTTTGCAAATGGCAAAGAAAAAGAAAGGTGGTGCAGTTTTTGAGAAAAAGAATCTAAAGCAAACATCAAGTATGATAGAATATGTTGAGAGGAGATCAAAAACCATACAATGACGTTAAGTAAAGGAAGCTGTAAAAAGTACTAAAAAGATTGTAGAAATCAAACTTTATACTATTGACAGTTGATGACTACCAGATGCAAAATACACTTAAGGAAGGACGGGAAACACAAACCCAAATATGAGGATTGTAAATCAGTTTTTCAAATTGTTGCCATTAATGAACAGATCAGTAAGTAGAAACTAAATTTTTGGAATAAGGTTTAAGAAAATTGTGGTGGAAAAATATATATTGGAAATAAATTTATTTTCAGATGCATTCATAATTTGGATTTATTTCTAAATTATAAAAACTGACATTAGGATTTTAAGTCAATGTGATAAATAAAAACAGATTTGTTCTTACTGTAGCAAATTCAGCATACAATTTTTTTTTCTTTATTAACTTCCACTTTTTCACTTAAAAAGGAAGCATTTTACAGCTTTTATTTGAATTGCTATAATTGTTGCTCTCATGCTTGGGACAATTTTTAAGTCAAATTTATTTATGAGATGGATTGCAGGTAATAAACAGGAGATAATGTATTGGAACAGTGGTGATTACTGTGCCAATAAACAATATCAAAATTCAAAATCATTGGCATGGTTGGTGCAGTATTTGTTTATTAATGTAAAAACCACCATCATCTCTTGCAATGTTTTGGGAAAAGTGTTTGAAATTTACACAGCTTTTTATTGTTTATACATGCAAATGGCAATCATCTTTCCAAGAATAACCAAACAAATACACAAAGGCGAATTAAATGGTAAGATAAAAATATTATATTGGAGCATAATCACTGATATTAATTGTTGCTTAAATGATGTTAAATTGTGACTTAATATAGAAAAACAAAGCATGAATGAGAACAAAAGAAATTACCTTTGACACGCTTAGCAGTATCATTGCTGACTATTGTATGTTTTTTTGATTTTCGTTTATCACCAACTTTGGACACCTGAAGAGAGAAAATGTTTGTGAAATAAAAATATGGTTTTCTGAAGTGACTTAAAAAAAAAAAAAAAAAAAAATCAAAAAAAATCTGCTTTTATTATTTTTGAATTTTCAGTTGGTTCAGGAATAACATTAAAATGGGTGTTATTACATAAAATTGCCATAATACACTCATTTGATGAAATGAATAAAAACAATATTTTTGTGTTTTCTACCAAACAATTTCCGCGATGTGGCCTAAATCATCCCATTAACTCACATCCATAGTGAGTGTGGCTAACAGATGTTAAAAAAAAAGAAAAAGAAAAAAGATTCTAAAAATAATAATTTCAAAAATAAATTCATTTGTGAATAAGTCTTGAAAGTTTCATTAAAATCTGACAATTATTTGATTTTTGCAAGACTTTCATAATTAATGTGTTATTTTAATGGAAAATGGGTGTCAAAATTTCCATTAACAGTTCTGTTACCTTGTTGACGCATAAAAAGGAACAAGATATTTAACCAAAATTTCAAATGTGTTCGAAAGGAGTAAAAAATTAAAAAAAAATAATTAAGAAATACTTTGTTCTTTCCTCTTAATAATAAACATTTTGACAATAAAACTCTGTTTTTATTAAGTTTGGGGCATTTTTTTCATCATGCTGTGCTCTTTTTTCAGTAAATTATTGGAGATACCTAGTTAAATAATAATAAATGTCTTGATGCTACACCAAGCACAGTTCTTATGGCTTTTAATTTCAACCAACAGAACATATTCCCTAAGGATTGACACATTGCTCATGAGCAGGTGTGTGTGTGTGTGTGTCTTTTTCTTAGTTTGAAGGATCATGCAGCCAAAGTCACATCCTGGGTTACTTGACATAGTGGTTATTTCTCACTGGGCCCCCACCATTTTCGAAACCTGTCACCATATCGCACACATTTAGCTGTGATGCATAGGACTAGTATACCATTGCCATGATTAGTATAATGAGCTTTCTTTGTATATTTGCACCCCAGTATCACTTTGTTGATAAGATGCTCCCTCGCTTAATAATTCCTCATACGTTTAATGCCACTAAAACTGGTTGTGAAAGAGAACTTTAGGAACTGGAAACATGGAATAAACTTCTACTTAGGTACCTCCATGAGATTGCTAAAAAAGAGCATAGCATGATGGAAAAGACACCAAACTTGACAAAAACAAAAGTTTATCATCTAAATGTTTATGTTCTTATTAAGAGGAAAGAACAAAATATTTTTTAATTATTTTTTTTTCTTCTTTTTAGAACATTCTAACTTTTGATTAAAAAAACAAACCTTGTTTCTCTTTGTATCAGCAGAACTACTAGATAACATTTTAACACTTTTGTATGACAGACATTAATTTGGAAAATCTTGTAAAAATAATAATTGTTGGATGTTAATGAAACTTTCAGAAACTATTAAAAAATTATGGACATTATGTTTTCTTTTTTTTTAAAGTCATGGCAAAAATATATTTATTACCATAAATAACAAATTTTATGAAAACTCTAGAAAATCAACAATTGAGGAAAGAAAATCATGTATATTTTTTTTTTAATTGGACCCACCTTAATTGAAAATCAGCTCTGAATTGTAACATACAAAACTCAATAAAACAAAGAAATTACTTAATTTCAAACGTTTTTTAGTTGCTTTTAGCCGTTTTTATGAATATGGATAATATTGTCTGAAAGCAAAAAACTTATTTGATGAAAAATGAATTTTTAAAACAATTTCTTAAATTATTTTATTATTTTTACATTCCAGTTGTTAGTTAAATATTCTAAAAATAGTGAAAACGGCATTCAGTTCAGTCAGTGGTGTTATTAGATCTCTTTTAACATAAGTTGCATAGTTTATAACAATCAGAAAAGTCGAACTGTATAAAAAAAACTAATTCCAGATGGCTTTTGTTTGTGTCTATAAAATGGCTTTAATTAAAGTGTACAGAAGACCATCAAGAATACAATAAAAAGTCGCATTAAGTGTTGTTCGCTGCTGTTAAGGCATTTATTTTTGTGAAACACATGTGGAGAAGTTAATTTGATTTTTCAATTTCAACTGAGAAGAGTACCTACAAGTAGTATCATCTTATGAAATTTATATGATCTTATTTTTGTATTATCTGTTATGACATTTTTCCATAAATGAAAAATCAATATTAATAAAATGAATGGGAAATACAAATAACGCAGTACTAATGTAATAAACGTACATAATTTCATGTACACCGCTGATGAAATTTCATAAGTAAGGTACCTATAAATTAATTAGATACCTTTCTTATGAAATAATCTCACTCTCAGCAGTCATTTAATTTTTAGAGTAAATGTGAAAGCTAAGTAAAAAAAAAAAAAAAAAAAAGCGCTGAAAGTTTTCCTTAAAAATAAGGTAAATAAGTTGGTTCACTTAAATGTCACTTTTTTTGTCCCTCAGCACGATAACTTTCTCACGTAAGCTGTCAATACGTGATGAAATCATTACTCATCACCTCAAAGTGACACCAAATGTTATGACCTGCTGTGTCTTATTTTTAAACTACATCTTTTTGGCACAGAAACTAAGTAATGCTGGTTTCAAAATATTTTAAATAAACATTAATTAATTGATTTTTAAAATAATTTGAAACTGATTTTCATTTTTTTTTATGAAATGGGAGAAAAATGGTTGACATGATGTATTATCTGGCAATTTTGCTGACTAAAAAAAAAAAAAAAATTTTTTTAACGAAAATTTCGGACGTGATAGGAACGATTAAAAAATACACCTAAAATACTTTGATCAAGAATAACAAACATTTTTAGACAATAAAAAAATATTTTCATCAAGTTTAAGGCCCTTTCTTTTTATTTTATTCATGCTATGCACTTCTACTCCTGTGCAAAAAATTTGTTATTCTGCTACATGATAAACTTGATTTACATTTTCAAAAACGTTGAAGTGACTATGCCCTTTTCTTCATTTAACGATTTACATAGAAATAAATTCACAGTCCGCAAATACAACTCCCCCCCACCCCTGCATGATTATTTTTCAACTGTGTCGCATTTCCAGATCTCGTATCCACTCTTAATTGCCAATCGAGGAGAAAAATAGACAACCCAATCTTGTCTTTTTTTACCAATTGGTACGTGATCATTGGAAGGAATTATTAGAAAATTTCTTTCGTTAAAAATACAATATAACAAAAACGAAACATGTTCAAACTTAAAAAAGCAAACAAAAAAACAGGCGGCTTCTCCACCCGGAAATAGTTTTTTTTTTTTTACCTTTTAACGAAAAAGTTAATGTTGTAGCGGTAACACTTGCATGTTTAAAATGCTATCTCGATTAGAGGACGAATTGAATAAGAATACGATGCTCAAGTTTTTAGGGAAAGAAAACTTAGTAATATAATAAATGAACGGTACTTTTATTCGGAGTCATAAAAAAAGAAAAATGTGTCTTCGTAAGGCTTGTTGTGTAAAAAAAGTAGCACGTGGTTTCGATAAATTAATTAATTTTTATCAAAAATTTACCTTTAGCGTAAAAGGGGTATTGTTTACCTTAGCGTTCCAAACAAATTATGTAGAATTTGCAGTATAAGCACCAAAAGGCCACGGTAATGAAAATTTTCCATTATGGTGTGAAGTGTTCATTTTCACTTCCTTCATATTTCTACCCCACCTCCAACTCAAATTGAAAAAAAAAAAAAGCACACATCCAAATTTACACACGTACAAATAGTTGAATAAATAAATGGTGCAAAAAAAGTTACGAATCCAAAATAGCGAGACGAGAGCCGATAATTATTTCGATCTCATGGGGAACGGAAATTGTTTACAAAGAAACAAAAAAGTCTTAGAACAAGAACATTTTCCTTGATTACCGGCTTAGTGACCGCTACCGGTTTTTTTTTTAACACAAAGAAAAGAGAAATATAAACATCAGAAATTTCTTTTTTTTACAAATGTTAAAATAAAAAAAGAGAAAATACTTAGAAGTTAAATTTTTAAGCGTAGAAAACAAGAATTTAAACAAGGACAAAAAAAAAAACTAAAAGGGTCTAAAAACTTTTTCGCCACCACTCCCGAATGAAATAAGCTAACTCGACAAGAAATCCAACAGTAATCTAAAATTTTAATGTAAATAATTTACATAGGATAAAATTAGGAGAACAATATGATCAAAATTGATTTAAAAAACAAACAAACAAAAAAAAAACAAACAATTTTTAGATGGATGAATTTAAGTTTTCCTAAAAAAAACCACCGGCAACAAGTTTTTTTTTTTTTTTTTTAAAAACAAGCATGTCAATTTTTTTTTTTTTTTTTAGTTTAACACTTAGGATAATTAGTGTTAAGTTAAGTATAGAGAATGAAAAAGAAAATCTAAAATGACAACAACATTAAAGAATTTTTGGAAAGAACGCAAGGAAAGAAAATCTTAAATGAAAAATAAATTCAAATCCAAAAATAATAAAAAAGACAAAAATACAACTATCATGTTAAATGTATTTGAAGCTATTTATTTTTAAGTTTTATTTTACAAAAATAGTAAAACGTATAAAAATTGGATCGAATGCAAAGTTTATTTTTCACATATTTGTTAAAAGATTTACTTTTTTTCTTTTTGGTACCAAAAAAACTTGCAATCGAAGAGTTAGAAAAAAAAGAAAAGAAATAATGGTTTATCAGTGAAACAAACAAAATGCATATAATTTAATATTCATACTAAAACTTAAAATTGTCTGACGAATGATCTTAAAAACATTTCCTAACAACTTTAGTTATTCCATAACACAAACAAGATTTCGCCGGTTTGATTGGCTTTTTTTAATTATTTCGCAACGGGTTTCTGAAAACAATAATGTTAAAAAAATAAGAGAATTTCAAAAAATGTCAGCAATATTGAACTTACCGACGGCATGACGATTATTTTCTACTGTAGAAATGATGTGATAATTTTAAAAATAGCTATTTTTCTTTCCAGCGTGACACTATCCTTTTTAAGATAACGTGTCTATTTTAAAATGGCGCCACGCTTGAGATATTGTGTAGGTGTGAATTATCTGCCCTTGGCCCAATCCACTCTTCTGTACGCTGAGGAAAGAAAATCAACGAGCAACAATAACAACAAGTGCGCGGAACAGTGGAACAAGAAAAGTTTTCTTTAGATCTTTCCTCGGAAGAAAAAGTTTTAAAGTTTGAAGTGAAAGAAAAGTTACTAAACATTTATTCCATTACTGAATGAAATATTTTTTTTCATTAGATAGATCTTTTAGGTTGTAATGGCTTATCTAAAGTTTGCTTGTCGTCTGTCATCAAATTTAGGTAAGTGTTTAAATTTTTTTTAGCTTATGATCGCCGATTGTTTAAAAAAAACAAGATAAGCTAGCTTCATTTTATTTTTTAATTCAAAGAAATTTAATGGCTTAGTTATATTATTTTCATCTGCTAAAAATAAAAAAAAATAACACGATATTTGTGATTTTAATTTAATTAAAAAACTTTATTATTTATGATTTATTTTTTTAGCAATACAAACAGAAACGTTATTTTCTTGTCTTTAAAACAAAATGGTAAATTCCGTCAATTTTCCTTTGGTCAGTCAGCTTGCCTCAAATAAACTTAATAACCCACTGACTTATTTTTTGCTAAAAATTCTTTACTTTTCATACCACCAGTTTCAAATTATTTAACTCGCTCATTGGTCACTAACTTTTCTTTTCATAAACCTTGTATTTTATTGGTTAAATTAACTGTTAAATTTTTAGCTATAAACAGTTAATTTAAGTTTTAATGTTAACTTTTTTTTAAGTAAATAAATAAGAACTATAAGAATAAAATAACTTTGAAAGATGAAAAAGTACAAAAACTAACGTTTTTTTTTGTTTTTTTTTTTTACATATTTGAAAACCTGTGATAAAGTTGCGGTTGAAAATGAGTTTATTTCTTTGTGTTGAAGAATTATTCAACTGAGAAAAATAAATTTTCCAAAATAGGAAAGAAATCTTTTGAATGTATTGCACATAAAAAAGTTGATTAATGAAATTGAAATAAACTTATTTCAATTTCATTAATCACCTTTTTTATTTCAAATAACAGATGTAAATTAAATAAATATCAAGTCAAATAAGTTAGATTTTTGCATCAATTATATAATAAAACCAAATTTGCATTAATTCTAAAATTAATCACGATTTGTTTTAAAATTGAGAACTTTTTAGAGCGAAAGATGAAAGGGTGTCTGCAATTGTTCTCCCGTTTTCTAAACGTCCAAGAGAGCCTCTTTGTCTTTTTACTCTGTACTTTAGTTCAAATACCATTTTTAGTCACTAATTCATTTCTTTATTTTATTTATCAAAATAAATGAAAAGTAAATGAACTCGTGATAAAAAAATATTGAAAATACAAAGCGTCAGAGTTTATTATTTTCTTCATTTCGTAGTGTTTGAAAAAGTATTTTCTTGGAAAGACTAACATTTTCTTCCATGAACTCAAAATTATTCATAAAATTTATTGAAATGAATTGAACAGTAAAATCATTTTTCCTTAGGACTCTGCAAAGTTTTATTAACAGAACTTGACCTGACAGAAATATTTTTTGATATTTTCCAAGTTACCAAAATGGACCAAATATCTTATAATTTTCAGAAATAAATGCAATCAGTACGTCATAAAATGATACACTTAAACTAAACACTGTGTTAAAAAAAACTTAAATTAATTTCTAAATTCAATGGTAAAGATATAAAAAAGTAATATTTTTTACACGATATATAGCATTTTAATACTAATAGGCTACTAAAAAAGCCTACGTATTAAAAGAAAAATTAATTTCCGTCTGTAAGTTTATGGGCATAAAACATTAGCAATTTTAAGTTCAAGAAACTGTAAAATTAAAATAGCAGCGTTGCTGCTAACAAAAAATGGTCAGAATTGTTAGTTATTGAATTGAAAATGTTTTTTTGTGTTCACTTTGAGGTTTTTCTTAATTATTCATTCGTATCCAAGTGATGCCTTTATTTTTATTTTGACTATAAAATTATTATAATCCTGCATAACCAATAAAGAATACAATTTTTTTATGATTTTATTTTTATGAAACTTTTTCCTTTTTGAAGGCGAAAATTCATAATTATTTCCCTTTTGTACATCCTTACAAAAAATAATAGTTGCTTAAAGGGGGGAAAAAAATTCTTTAAAAAAAAGATCCACACTTGAAAATGGCTTTAAACTTTACATTTTTTTTATTCTTCAGACCTGACCTTATTTAATAAAAGAAACTGTTGTGACAAATAGCAACGGTATGAATTTCAAAATAACACTGAATAATTCAAATAAATATTAAGTGTACATTTTTTTCTGTTCATTCTGAAAAGAAATAATGTGCACTTAAATTATGCAAGCACAAAAAATACATTTTGTTTGAGTTTTATTGAATTATTTTTGGTAAGATTTGGGACATATTTTCCATATGTTCACACTTGATATTGTATTGTGTAATTTTTTTTTACCGATATAACATCTTCAGGGATTTTTCTTTATATAACTGTAAAAAAATTTGATGAACATTCCTAATTAAAAAGTAAATACAAGATATTGAAAAGCGTGTGTGTGTGTGTGTAGCAAACCTCCCCCAAAGTATTACCCTGTTTTCTTCTTTTATGCGCCATGTCCCTTCAAGACATAGGTGATCATGGCCCTCCACTTCCTCCTGTCTCTTGTAGCTCTTAATAAGTTTTGTCTTTTTATTTCTCCCAGACCCTGTTCTGCCATCCACTTGCTTAAGCCCATTATACCCAGCATTGCCCATCCCTTTTTCTTTTTATACATTCTGTGAGTATCAGATTTTTCAAGCCCTCCTTCCTCAATACATGTCCCAGGCATTTTAACTGCCTCTTCCTGATGTTAAGTATAAGTGTCCTCTTTGTTTCCATTCTCTCCAAAACCTTGTCATTTCTCACATGTTCAGCCCATAATATTCTTAGCATCCTTTTGTAGAACCACAATTCTGTTGCTTTCAGTCTCTTCTTCATTTTTGAGGAGATTGTCCAACATTCGCTGCCATATTAGAGAACATACATCATGTAATAGTTCAGTACTCTTTATATGCTGTCATGCCAAAAAGGACCCATTGGAACAGAGAAGTCGTCTCTTGTACAGGGCAGTCGTCTCGTCGGCTCCCACTGCCAAAGCCTTCAGACACGCTCATTTTATAGACTATGACGAAGCAGCCGATTGGTTGAGTGGGAGAGTTTTACATATGTGTAGGTGCACTCCGCTAATTCTCCCTACCTTTAACTGCTCTGTGACACCATACACATGCAATGCGTGGGCGTTTTGGGGCATGATGCCGTGTATCTTGATCATGGCAATCACATTCCCAATGAAACTTTCCTGTCTCTTAGTACTCTGCTTAGCATTTGGAAGGCATCTTTGGCCATCCCAATACATTTTCCAATCTCACTGTTGCACTTTCCGTTCTCAGTTAGAATAGTTTCCAGATATTTAAATTTCTGTACCTGCTTGATTTTTAGTATCCCTGACCTGTTTTTTGCATTTTGGGCTCATGTTTTTGCTGATGACCTTCATGTAGTCTATGCTTAGTCCTTTATGTTTTGTATTTCCTTTCTGTGTCTGCTATCAGAACTGTCATCTGCATATCTTATATTGTTAAGATTGTGGCTGCTAATGAGGAATCCTGGTAGGATTTTTAGTTCTCTCAAAATCACCTTGCTTCATAGGTTGAATAAATCCAGTGAGAAGACACATCCTTGTCTTACTCCTCTTTCTATTTTTGTATATCTGCTGAACTTATTTTTCATCTGTATGCAGGCGGTTTGCTGCTAGTATAGGTTTTGGATTATTCTAATGTCTTTTCCGAATATGTCAAAGTTGCTGAGCAGGTTTAACAGATCTTTGTGGCATACTTTGTTGAACATCTTTGTCTAGTCTATATAACGCAGGTACACGTCCTTCTGCATTTGTATGGCTCTTTCTGATAACATTCTGAGCTTAAATATCACATTCCTTGTTCCAGTGTCTTTGACAGACCCACACTGTTCTTGTCCTATCTCTGGCTTGATTCTGCTGCGTGCTCTATTCATCAGAATTCAGATAATGAGTTTTGTTATGTGGCTCATTAGGCTGAGTTTTCAGTGGAGTTCACATTCATTTGTGCCTGGTTTCTTAGGCAGTGCTATGAAAATATATCTGCTTAGGTCTTCCAGTATATCCCCACTGTTGTAGATTTAATTTATTATTTCTATAATCTTGTCTATGCCATAATCATTTAAGGCTGCCAGCATCTCTATCACAATTCCATCTGGCCCTGCCACTTTGTTTCTATTCATTTTGGCCAGTGTAGCTTCCACTTTGGTTTTTAGTATTTCCAGCCCATCAGTATTTTTGTTATCTTTTGTCATGGAAGAGATCTTCAATATATTCGTTCCAGTGCTGCAGAATTTTTTCTTTCTCTAATATGACTGTCCCATCCTTCGATTTTATGCAGCCTGTTCATGAGCATGTCTTCTGTTCTGTTCTCTTATTTGCTTATGCATATCTCCTTTATCTGTGATACTCATTCTTTGTATTTCTGCATATTTTTTTTTTTAGCCACTCTTCTTTAACCTGCCTGCATTTGTTCTTTATTTCATTGTGTAGTGTTCTGTATTCCGTTTCATGTCTTGGCATTGTTTTCTGTCTCCTTTGCATCATGTCAAGAAATCTTGTCATTTTTTCTTTTTCGTCCTCTCTCCTTTGAGATAACATCATTTGCTCATGTCACTAAAGCTTCTTTTAGTGTGTCCCATTTCAAGTTTCCGTTTCCATTGTGTCCCTCATATCTTTTTTTCACACTGTCCATGTATTTTTCCTTCAGGTTTGAATTATTCAAGAGTCTGTTGTATTGCAATTTGGGTGCTG